AAATAAGTTTTTAAATATTTTAAAATAGTAAGAAGAAATTATTTAGAAGTCAAGTGAGCATATATTGTATTACTTTCCACTTTCTTTATAAGAAAATAAGTGCAAAAAACAAAATTTACATTTTAAAAAAATAACCTATTCTATGACTCTAACAGAAAGTGAGTTTTTCCAACCTAATTTTAAAAAAACGGGCCAATTACCTTTCAAAGAAATAGAAATTTTACCTCTTACGTCAGTAAAAATTTTTCCACATACAAAAGTAAAAAATTTACCTCCCTCATCTGGTAAAATTAAATAAAAATATATTTTATTCACAATCATAAAGTAATAATCAAACTACCTTGCATGTGAAAAGTTGAGAAGTATGATGACCTTTCAACTTTATTTAACAATTCATAGAAAACAGAATTCAGGTTGAGAAGTGGTCACTTTCTTATCAGTTGATACGTAATATGACAGAAAATGGCCACTTTCCCACCTAAAAACAGATAAGGAAGTGACCACTTGCCAACCTGAACTGTCATATGTCATGTTTTTCAAAATTTAATAAATTTTTATATTGGTTTTCTATTAGTTGTGAATAAAATAGTATACAAACCTTGGTAGTCGGCGCTTCGCACCTTAGTCATAAAGCACTTATTCTCACCTCGGTATGTAATCTACTATAACCTCTCGGAGAAGTTAAAATTTTACTATCCTTTACATCTCTCGACAAGTTTCGGGCTGTAACTCCCACTTGTGGGAAGAAAAGATACACTTTCCTCCCTTGAAATACAATTAACTATTAAATAACAAGGAAAAAAAAGCGTTTTTTTTTACAGTAGCCTCAAAAAATGCCATTAATACTATACTCTGATCACCGAAGAGAAATGTAGCACGTCAATTGAGTGTGGCTTCCCTATTGGCTGAGAAAAATCGTGATGAACACGTGACCACTCTGATGTTTCTATTTGTGTCTATGTTTATTAAAATAATTTTTTTCTTGTGATTTGAATAATTCAAACAAATGTTGAGTGTTATTAATCACTATCACCGGTATCTTGTATCCACACGCACTTAGCACTTCTTTCCTCGAACCACAATGCAAATAATTCATCTTTAATTAACTGAAATAATTACGAGAGTAATAAATTAATTTGAAATTGTAATGAGTAAAGAGTTTGTAATTCTTTCTGTAATTGGTTTTAATACGGACTTTTCGCGTTTGTTGCGTTTTGTATTTTACATAAAAACGTAATATTTTATTTTAATTGTTTTTGTCGCAGCCGTTTGTCGATTTTGGTCTCAAGTGTATTGACCTAGTCTGAATATAATCGCAAAAATCAAATTTAAATACGCAGATTTACACAACAATAAAGATATGTAAATTTAGCAAATCTAAATGTAAATTTAAAGAGAAACTTGACTACTTACTGAGCTTCTTCCATATAATATTGTGATGACGCGAGGTTGAGTAAAAAAAACAAAGTTTTGATAAAATTTCTTTTAGGTATATTTCGTGTTCTTTACAAGTTTGTTTTTAAGTACATCATACTCAACATATTTTTTCTACAGTTAAGTCTAGTAAATGAGAGCTTCAATTTTTAATAGATTTATCAAAAATCAAAGTCTCGTCTTAAAAAAATGTACAAGTAAAAAATTCTTCAACAAACGTCTATTTATACACACATATTTATGTAAAAATTCGTTAGATATGTGGAAAATAAAACAGGATAATCACAGGAAAACAAACGGTGTCTTCTCAATAGAATATTCACAATACTTATATGTACACAAAAATAAATACAAAAAGTTGTTAGGTATGCCTGGAAATAAATAAGGGGACCGTATTTACACTGGGACTACTCTACTGGGGGAATTTGAAATTGCGAATTGGCACTAACRAACAGTTTGGCACGTAAAAGTTGGCACAATCGTCACTATTTACACAGTTTATGTTTCACTCTCTACATCACTCACACATTCCTCGTCCATGTCCATATCGATATACTCCCCGTATTGGCCGTCATCCCCCGTTTCCTGCTTCCACTTGTTGACATGGTGGCTGTTCTGTTGGCTACCCTGCGAGCTGGACTTGTTTCCGCCTTGGCTCGTCTTCGCCTCTTCCTCCTGCTGCATCCGCTTGTGTTTGGTCCTCCGGTTCTGGAACCACACCTTCACCTGCAACCAAAATCAACGATTCACTATTTTGGCGCGATTTCAATTCGGAAGTGCCCAGATTGGATTAATGACGGTGTAATTGTTGGCACTTTATTGTTATTGCTGTGAATGACCCATGAGAGACTTCCGACGCTAATGGATGACACGTTCGACGAAGTTTCAATGGCATTCGACAAGCCATTTGCTTAATGGAAACAAATGAGGCAAGAAATGCGCAATTTGGACAGAGAAATAACAGAAAAATCTAATTTACCAAAAAAAAAGAGAATGAAATTATGTGTTTCACAATGATTATTAATTTATTATTCGCCATTTTTTTTGTTTAATGAAAGAAAGTAAATAATTCTCTCTGATTACCAAAAAAAAAAGAGGTAAAAGAACAAAAATATATATTTAAGGCACTAGGGAAGCAAGCTGATTTTGGTCTACGAAAAGCAATTGAGTTTTACAAAGCGTAAAAAAATAATAATAAAGAGAAAAAAAAACAAATATCAATCAATTTCTGAATTATTTCAAATGACTAAATATTAGTTAAAAGAATCAGGATAAAAAATAAATATTTAGATGACTTGAAAAGAAAGCTGACTTTTGCAATTCAGTTTTACAAAGCTCAAAAGAAATTGAAGGGCGTATTGTAAAAACGTGATAAGCCAAATAATCAAATTATAAAAAAATATGACTTTGAGTTTCTGAAAAATCTATGAAATTTATATTTTGATATTACTTATAACTTCTATAGAGAAGAAAGCTGATTTTTGCCTACGAAAAGCAATTAGTTTTACAAAACGTAAAAATTTGATAATAAAGACAAAAAAAACATAAACGATGTTCTTACACATAAAAAAAACAATTTCTGAATTCTAAAAAAACAAACAAAAAGTGAGTAAACATTAGTTTAAAAGAATCAGAACAAAAAATGAATATTTAGGTGACTTAAGCCAAACAATCAAATTATTAAAAAATAGGACTTTGAGTTTCTAAAAAATCTATGAAATTTATATTTTGATATTATAACTCCTATAGAGAAGAAAGCTAATTTTTGCCTACGAAAAGCAATTAGTTTTAAAAAACGTAAAAAAACCATAATAAAGAGAAAAAAAACATAAACAATGTTCTTACACTTAAAAAAAATCAATTTCTGAATTCGGAAAAAGACAACAAAAAAGTGAGTAAACATTAGTTTAAAAGAATCAGAACAAAAAATGAATATTTAGGTGACTAGGAAAAAAACAATTCAGTTTTACAAAGCTTAAGAAAGAAAAAAAAGCATAAAAAATGTTGTTACACTTCAAAAAGTATTGAGAAAATTTTGAAGTTAAGAGAAAACAATCAATCTTTTAATTATTTTGAATGTAACAAAATGATAAAAAATAGTTTGCCTGGATGAWAAAAAAGTGAGTTAAGTATTTAAGTTTAAAAGAATCAGAACAAAAAATGAAAATTTAAGTTACTAAACTAGGGAAAAAAACCTGACTTTTGTCTGATTAGGACAAAGAGAAAACTCAGTTTTACAAAGCAAAAATAACAGTAGAAAACAAAATCTGAAAAACGTTTTAAACGTTTTTATAAAACAAACAATGTCATAAGTATCAAAAAAGTCAGTTTTTCTTGACAATTGTGCAGACGTATGAATTTTCTAATCTAGAAATTAAATATAAAGTAATTTTTGATTTTATGTAAAAAAAAGAGAGAAAAAAGTTGATGTTTCTGAAACTAGTTTTATATACATTTTTCTTTGAATATTAAATTTTTTTCAATTTCCTCATTAGAATTAAAATTGCAACAAGCCAAATAATCAAAAATATGTAAGTATAAAAGCAAAACATGTAGTCTCTGAAGAATATTTAATAATTAACTCGAAACGTCCACAAATCATTGTTAACTCAGAAATTTTAACTTCATAATATTAAAAATATTAGTTTTTGGTCCATAGTCACTTTCAAATAAAACACTTTCTTTCTTTGTGTAAAAATATTCTCTATTTTGTTCTCCAAAATAAGTGTTATTTCGTATTGAGTTCTGGAAAAGTGAATATTACTACTAAATACACGAATTTGTCTACCTACAGAATAAAATTATGTGTTTCACAATGATTATTAATTTATTATTCACCAAATTTTTTTGTTTAAGTGAAGAAAATAAACAATTCTTTCTGATTACCGAAATAGTTATTTGTATTACAAAGAAAGAAAAGTGTGTCTTTTCTTTCCTGGGTGCGAGAAAAAATATACCTTCCTCAGTGTTATTTCCGATTATATTTTTACCTCCCTGAGAGGTTATTAGATATATATTTTTATTTTAATTTTGACAGAAGAAGGTACATAATATTTTTACTTCTCAGGAAAGTAACTGGTCGCTTTCTTTTCTAAAATTAGGATGGAAAAACTTACTTTCTGTTAGTGTCGTAAGAAAAAATTTTTCACTAAGAGACAAATAGTTCTCGCAGAAAAAAAAAATTTAAAATAAAATCTCATACAAAGTATTCCAAGTATTTTTTTTTAAAGATTTAGTTTAGTCAAAAAAAATATTACCTATTTACAAAATCTTTATAATTATAAAGACATTATAAAGACTTTGACCTATTTAATTGCCATTAAAAATGATGATTATTTTCGTTAAACGATAAAATAAAAATACAAGCATTAGAATAAGAAACAGTAATTATTAACATACGTTGTATTGGGAAGAAGGTATTTTATTTCTCCCGTATATTAAAAAAAAAAAAACTTTAGTCGTCACAACATGTAGAAAATTTTCATAATTAAAGAGAAAAACACAACAAAACAAAACAAAATGAAACTTTTAGTATAATATTTGATTTATTTTTCAAATAATGAAACAAGGCAGTATTTCATGTTTAGTTTAGAATAATCTTTGAGTAGAAAGCTATTTTGAAGAAATTTGTTTTTGAGTACCATTGTAGTATTTTCTTGAAATCATTATTTCTTGTCAGAAAAAATGCTAGAATCCAAAATCTAGAATGCTACATAAGTAGAAAAGATATATTTTTACACCATAGAAATAAACATGTTGTTTTGAAACGTAGAAAAAGATATATTTAAAGAAAACGATATAAAACAAATAAATAAAATAATTTTTTCTTTTAAATTTGTCGATTGTCGTACAATAATTCGGATACTTTAGCTTTAAAATGGTGTTTTTTTTTTACTTTTGTTATGATAATTTTTCAGTGACACACTTGGAAAAGCTACTTTCCGTTACAGCCGCCCAAGCCGTCGACTTCATATCAGATCCCAATTATTTTCGCGTTGTTATAGCTCCCGGAGTCTCTCAAAATCCGCCCAAAAACCGTTCCTTGCATCTCCGAATTGAAATGAATTAATTATTTAATAACACGTTCGTTCCTCGTCTGCATTTTCTCCCTTTTGATTATATCTCGATTAGCAAGCAATAAGTCTCCGATCCCACTCGTGATAAACCGTCTCCGTCCAGTCCGTCCCACTCGTCTGATTAATCATACCATTAATAATTTAAATCAGGATCTATTTATCAGCACGATTAAAATAAAAATCTCCCATTTAACTCATCCAGAACTGTCAACTGACAAAGAGATTAACTCTCCGATTATACATGAGTCGGGTCGATAATTCGCTGCGCACGCATCTGGATCAACTATCAATTTCGCACGCCGAATTAGCATGAAAAAGGGACACCCATTAGGGTCGCATGGTCCCCCTCGAGGACCGTCATTGGATCCAGACGGAATAAGGGAAGGATCACCGGGACTAAGGAGTGGCGTACTCGCCATGTCGGCGCGAAGACGCGGGACGCGGGGGAAGGCTATATGGCTTTCCCCGCGACTGGAACCCGAGAAGTCGCAATCCGGGAATCAGAGGGCATAGAGGAAGAAAGGCCAGGAGAGTCGACCGGTGTGCGTCCGGAGTCATAAAACGCACTAAAAAGCTCGCCGACGTCGTTCGGTATTATTTTAAGCGTTCGTGTGTTTGTGCTCGTAATTGAAAACGTGTGGGTCGGAGTTTTCTGCGCTTATTTTAATGAAATGTAAACAATACATATGCGTGTCGGATGGATTATATTTGAGTTTTTAATCGTTTTCATGTATAATCAATTAAAAGACCCACACGAGGGATTTTTTTTATTTGCACGTCACAGACGTAAAGCCCGGTTAAATATTGAGAACGACGCATTTATATATGCAGTAGGCGGGACTTGGGCGGGACGGAACTAAATTTACCAAGTATTTCCCTCGCGTTTTAGACGCTCTAATCGCACGATCGCATTTACATATACATAAGGGCATAATTAGAGTTTGTTATGTGTGGGACCGTTTTAGGTCGATCATTAAGACAGCGGAATTCGCCAAAGGAAGCGGAAATTTCGCAAAAACACCACGAATATCGACGACGCAAAACCTTGACTTTTGATTAATTCATCTTACAACTTTTTCAGTTTTATAAAGTTGTAATTACACTCCAAGAATCTGAAGTGATGTAAGACAAATCTGCATATTTTCTAAGATAAAGCTTTTTTATACAGTTTAATGTTTAGAGTGACTACTCCTCTGTTGTTATTAATGAGATGGAATAATAAAATTGGTCATTATTTCAAGAGAGCGGCTGTAATTTTAAACAATCAAGAAAAATTAAATGGCAAAAATGTCGGGTAAAAAATACAACTTTTTTAATTTTCTTAAAAAAGAAAATGCTATCCCAGTTGAGTAAAACGTATGGAACCAAACGTTTTTTGCTTAAACTATTTATGTTTTGGAAACACTAACTGATAATCAAAAATAAAATTTTTCGAAAATTTTTTTTGTTTTTGAATTCTACAAAAAAATATTTTTTAATAGCAACCCACTATAAAACCATTTTTCTCAAAAAGGTTATGATTTAAGGATTACAACTAACAACTTTATATTTACTTTTTCAAAAAAAAATTTACAAAAATTGCAATTTTCACCAAAAAATCGCGCGTAACTCAAAAATAAAACAAAATTTTGTTCTTAAAATACGATCACATTTTTTTATATTATTTTAATTTATATTAATTATTATTTTCTGAACTGGATAGTAGTGAGGCGAGTACTAATTCGGCTTTATTGAAATTGTAACTTCAATTATTCTTATGTTGCAATTAATTAATGCGACAGAAGACAAAAACTGGTCATTATTTTAATAAAGCGACTGTTAAACAAAAAATACAAATTAAAGTCATTAACTAAACTAAAAAATGAAAAAACTGTACATACAAAAAAAAAGTATGTGGCTTTCTGTATACGCTATTTTCCAAACCCATTTTATGCCCTAAAATAAGTCTTTTTCGGACTTCTTTAGGAAATTTTAAAATCTTCGAACTAAAATAAGTATATAACATTAATAAATCATCCACAATAATCCCAAAAATAAATCTTTTTCAATCTTTTCTTCAAAAAGTTAAAAAAACACTTATTTTACGAACTATTTTGGAAAAATTTCGAAAAAGACACATTTTTGAAACTATAATATTTTGCTAAAATAGCCTCCATACGAATGTAAATGTGTTTTTGGGAGCTTTAACAAAAAAAATGTTTTATAATACGTAGTTTTTGTTGACTCCATCTGCAGATTCAGCACAAACATCAAAGATTTGTCAAAAAAACTGTATTTTAGGTACTTGTAACAAAAATAAATATTTTAGAATTACTTTTAGTTTTTCTGTTATCTTAGGCGTACTAAAAAAATATTTTTTTAAACAACTTGTGTCAAAGTAGAAGTACAAAAAGTAACTTTGAGTCAATATAAATAAAACGAAATAATAAAACTAATGACTATTTCAATAAAGCGGCTGCAATTTTAGTTACATTTT